AGGCGGGCCAGCTGCGGGACCAGCCCCCCCGCAACCGCCGCCCGCGGAACCCGGGGAGGGGGAGGGGCGGGGAGGGGCCTGCGGGGGTAGCGGGGCGCCTGAGGCCGCTCTGGCTTCTGAGCAGAAACTTTGTAGGTTGCAAAAGCTGCGAGCTCGGAGCACGGGCGGAGCTGCACCCCGCCTGGCCCCGGGGCGCCGCTGCATCGCTGGATTGGGAGGAGCTGGGCATGCCCGCGGGGCGCGGGGGAGGGCAGAGCGCTTGAGACCCCTCTAGGCGGCCAGGGGTGCGCGATGAGGAGCGCAAAGACAGGGATGCCAGGGCTTCCTAACACAGCTGGGGAGAGGGCATCCCTGGGGTCCCACCTGGAGCCCATGCTCAGTACGAAGCTTTACCAGGGTGCCTGGAAAATGAGGTTCAGTTTAAGGAGGTCCTGAGGTTGGAGACGCCTTGTGATGGCCCCAACCACAATCCGCAGCTGGGGGACAGGAGTGTGGCTCAGCGGTGGAGCCTGCGGCCAGCCCTGGTCCCATCCCCGGCAGTGAGGGAGTTGGGGCGCAGGCGCGGCAGCGGGGTTATACTCACAGTAATAGCGTTTCTGATTTCGTTCCTTATCTGTTCTTTCAGGGCGAAGACCTCGTCTAGACATGTATCCATTCTAGCGCTGATTGTGCTCAGTGTACGGGGCGGTTTTCTGATCGGTGGTGTGCATTTAATTCCACGACGGCTGAAAGAAGCAGCCTTACTAAGCCCTTCCTGAAAACTGCCTTCTGACACCGCCCCCCATGCGTTGGGGTGATTTTCCTTTGGATTTTCAAGCTCCAAAGACTTCCCTTAACTATGTACCAACAGCGCCTGAGACCTGGAAGCCAACAAAAGATTAATGGATGCCATTTGCCTGTGAATAATAATCTATGACACAAGGCAAGATATATGTAAAATGTATTTTTAAAAATCACACAGTAAGAATCCTTAAACACTTTGTATATAAGTTTGTGTCTTAGAAAACAGTAAGCATGAGAAACATGAAAGTCATAGATAAATGCAGGATCCACAGTGATCATTGGTTGAGACTGGTGAATTATTACTCTAGAGTCACCTTTCACACACTGTCTTGGGCCAAAATATAATGTTTGCCTTAGCTCCTTTTCTTCATTAGAAAAATATTTGAATTCTCAGTTCTTAAAAATCCATGGGCACAGCTGAATTACATTAGGTGAAAATGAACTGCCATTGCTGGACCTATGAATTATTTATCTATAAACTCAAAAGCACAAGTGGCCCTCAACTTAAGATGGTCTGAATTTTAAGGGCTCAACATAGTAGAAAATGTACTTTAAATCTGAAGCTTTTCAGATTAGCAATATGTGTGTGAGATCACAGGGGTAGCAATCTTCAGGTAGCAATATGTGTGTGCTACAATCCTCCGTCAGGATGCTAGACAAACAGCCGCAGCTCTGGGTCAGCTCGTCAGTCACGAGGGCAACAGACACTCTATGCTATAGCTGCTAAACTAGGATGTTTTGGAGGTAAGGTGTATTAAATGTACTGTCAACAATATTTTTTTTTTTTTCTTTTTATTGTTGTCTTGGTGGTGCTGGGGATTGAACCAAGGGCCTTCAGCATGCTAAACACATGCTCTACCACTGAGCTATATGCCCAGCCCTGACTTAGGGTATTTACACCTTCTGAAGGGCTTCTCAGGAGGTAACCCCATGTGTATCATGCAGGCATCTTGCCTCATGTAAGAAAGATTTTAAATGGTCTTCTGCAGTCATGCATTTGAAAGGGTTTCTAAACAAAAGCGAAAGGGAGTAGTCAATTAAGAATGGAACGCTATGCTAACTCTGCAGCACTGGCAGTTAAGAAGTTGCTCCCTATAGTTCAATCACTTGCTTTTAGAAACCGACAAAAGGCCTTCACAGGGAGCAGGGTAAAGAAGACATCAGGCTTCTGTCAGACAAACTTTACCTTCCCTAGGTAGCCAATGAAGAGAGAGGAGGGAACTGCATGTAAGGAGGGGAAGGAGTTAAATTGCCCACAGATACCCCTCTGGTGGTCTGTCAGTCTGTCTGTTGGGCTGGTACCCTACTCTTGCAAGAATGAAGAACTGTCTTTGGGTCTGGAAAGTGAATGCCCTTCACACACATCACTGAATTTTGACATATACTCTCACTAAAACCCCCACAAGCAGGACCACAAGGACCCCAAGGACCAGAAGCCCTCGCCGCAGCACCAACTGTCTCCCAGACAATTTGTTGTCTTTTGTGTGGGCAGGCAAAGGTTGTTCTCGGTGTGTCTCCTGTTCCGGTTGAGTCTCCTCCTTCTTTTCAAAATGTGTCATTGAAATCTCTCCATGGTTTTCAGGACTCACTGTAGAGGGAAAAAAGAACTTTGCAGCTTGAAAGAAATTTATTTTGTTCTGTATAAAAAATGATATATAATGTACTAGTATATAATGTACTAGTATATATTATATATTAGTACATTATATAATGTACTAGTATATAATGTACTAGTAGCTAGGAGAAAATTAACTCTGGAAATAATTGCTACAGTAAACAAATAAAAGAAATTTTGTTAGGCAGGAACTTATAGGAGCACATTCCTATACCCTGGGGCAGAGGCTGCTGCCCACTGAGATGACTGTTATCCCTTCAAACTTTTGTTTCAGATACTGTGCTCAAGAGAAAACCACAAGGAACCACTCTTTTGCTCATTATAAAGCTCAGTTCTCCCCCCAGGAGACATGGCCATCCCTCATCTTTTAGCATGGGTGGCATGATCTCACACTGAGCATGCTCAGAAATGAGTCTCTCTTAATGCGTCACAAGGAGTCTCTCTACAATGAAAATGCACAAAATTTCACCAATGAAAGCCCCTTGCTTCTTTTGTTCGGAGAGACACTGCTTTGGAAATTACCCTCAGAGTTCTCTTTACTTGTTCAAATTAAACCTTTCTGCAGCCTTTTGTCTGCAGTCTTTCTGCAGTCTGTTGTGCTTACTGGCCTAGTGCTCACCAGAGCCAAGCCCCACCGTGTTCCATTGCAGGGATCTCGGAGCCCTCTCTGCCCCTTCACAAACCAGGGTAATTAGCCTGGGGATTCTGGGTGAGACAGCTAACAATTTACAGTCCCAGCTCACTGTCTCACGAAGGTAAAGAATGAAATCAAAGATAGAAAGGAAGTAGTTAAAGGGATGTGTACTGGAGGTAGAAGAAGGAAAAAAGCCTGGACAGGTAGTTGGAAGGGGTCCTGAAAGTGGATTTGTTCAGTGGACTCTTTTTCCAGAATCATTTATGGATGAGCAGAGCATGGGAATCTGCCCAGTGCCCAGAAAGTGGTATATCAGTCTGTCTGTGGACCCCCAAAACAATTGACATGTTTTAAATGTAAATTTCAAAGAAAAACTAGTTATTCAGCATCCCCAAATTCCCTGCAACCAGTCCTCAGCCCAAAAGTAGGGAGGTACTGCTACCTTGGTTCATTCTTCCTAAAAAGTTTCTTTCCTGGGAGTCCTTAGCTTTACTTTTTATCATTTTCCCTGTGCTTGCTTTTACATTTCTAAGCTTACTATCTGTATGGCTTGAATTAGCTCTTAACTCGATGTAAGGGTAAGAGCTATTTTTTTTTTTTTTAATGCTCACAAGCTTGATTCCATCTAAGGCCCTGACCCTTGCTAGCTGCCTATTTGAAAGCTAAATAGTTAAACTGCCTCTTACACAGGGTTCTCTGTAAGTTAAAATTCACATGGCAAATTTTCAAAGAGCCAATGTCCCTAAATAAACATTTCAGAAAGAAAATGAGCAGGTCTGTATTACACAGGATGGGGTTTGTTAAAGTTGCCAGGAATAAGGCTTACTTTAAGAGATATCAAGTGAAGCTTAGGAGCAGATGAGATGGCAAAACTGATTACTATGCTCAAAAACTTTTGGTGATCCAGGACAGAAATAAGTACAACACATCTAAATACAGTTCATGTAACTAACAGAGATACCACTGGTCAGATTGCTTTGCCTGTATTGAAGGAGATATGATAGTCTGAGCAGCATATGCACATGAACTACCAAAATGTGGTATGAAAGTTGGCCTATAAATTATGCTGCAACATATTGTACTGGCCTGCTGCTGGCCTGCAGGCTTTGCAATAGGTTTGGCATGGGTAAGATCTGTGAAGGCAGGTGGAGCTGCCTGAAGATGAATACAATGTGGAAAGCACTGATGGTAAACCTGGGGCCATCACCTGCTATTTGGATGCAGGCCTTGCCAGAACTACAACTGGCAATAAAGTTTTTGGAGCCCTGAAGGGTGCTGTGGATGGAGCTTGTCTGTCCCTCACAGTACCAAACAATTCCCTGGCTATGATTCTGAAAGCAAGGAGTTCAAGGCAGAAGTACATGGGAAGCACATTACGGGGCAGAATGTCGCAGATTATATGTGTTACCTAATGGATGAAGATGAAGATGCTTATAAAAAACAGTTCTCTCAGAACATAAAGAACAGTGTAACTCCAGACATGATGGAGGAGATGTATAAGAAAGCTCATGCTGCTATACAAGAGAATCCAGTCTATGAAAAGAAACCAGCCAGGCATGATGGCACAAGCCTGTAATCCCAGCACTTGGCAGGCTGAGGCAGGTGGACTGTTGCGAGTTAGAGAACAGCCTGGGCTACAAAGTGAGCTCAAGGCCAATCTGGACTATATAGCAAGACCCTGTCTCAAAAAGATTAAAAAAAGAAAGAAAGAAAAGAAAAGAAACCAAAGAGAGAAGTTAAAAGAAGAGGTGGAAGCATCTCAAAATGTCCCTTGTTCCCTTGTCCAGAAGAAAGACAAGGTAGCTCAAAAGAAGGCAAGTTTCCTCAGAGCTCAGGAGCGGGCTGCTGAAAGTTAAACAAAATTTCTACGAAGATTTTTCAGGTAAAGACCAATAAACTTAATCATCAAGTAAAAAAGAAAATTATTTTCTTCCAGAACTCTGAAGGCATTGTAACACTCCTAATAAAGGTTGGGACTCCCTAACCTGGGATGATCTTAAATTGAAACACCTCTGGTCAGAAGCATTCCACTTAGAGAATACTCAGCCTGCAATCACTTATATTTTTTAGGAAGCTGGATGATCATCTTGTTCTTTCTTTTCCCCTGTCCTGAGAGACTGAACCCAAGGGCACAGTACCGACTTTCTCCTTTAATTTTTTTATTTTAATACAGGGTGTTGCTAATTTGCCCAGGTGGGACTCAAATTTACAACTATCCTGGCTCAGCCTCCATGAGCGCTGGGATTATAGGCATGAGTCACCACACCTGGTTGCTAATCTTCTTCTTGCACTATTAGATAATCTGCCTTTCTCTTTTTGGAAGTTTTTAGGGTACTTTCCTGCGATTACTGGTATTCTTAGTTGTCTCAATTACTTATCTCAGTGCTGAGACAAAATACCCAACACCAAAGTTAAAAGAAGAAAGGTTTAATTGGATCACAGTTTGTAGAGGTTTCCATTCATAGTTGACTGGCTCCAAGGCAGGGCAGCAGGGCAGAGTGACATCGCAGAGAAGCATTCCACAGCAGGAAGAAGGCAGCTGAGCAGCGAAGTAGCAAGCAGCAAGCAGTGACAGCTGACCCCAACATCCCTCTCTCTGTCCCTTATATTCTGCCCAGGCTACCCAATCTTAGGGCAGGTAGCACTCACACACAGGGAATGCTTTCCCATTATCCACTCCCAGAACTATGCCAAACCAATCAGTGGACTAATTTAGTAGTCACACACCTTTGATCCCACAATCACACCCTCTAGATCCAGCCACTCTGAAAAGCCCCACCTATGAGTGCATGAGGCTTTAGGGGGACCATCTAGACACAAGCTGTAACATTACTATTCTGAAGCACCATGAGACTGTGTATAGGTGTGAGTTATTATCCTGCTTGGTATTTAGTATGCCCTTGGATGTGAAGACTCAGTTCTATGAATAACCTTGATTTATTCCTTAGTTTATTTCTCCCTATTTGCTCCTTCTGAAATGTTTATTTTCTTTCTGCGCAGACCTAGAAAATAATTTTAAACATACTGATACCAGCTCACATCTACCAAATACAGGATAAGTATCAGACCCTTCTTAGTACTCAATACTCACAGCAATAGTAAGTATCCTATCACCCCAATTTATAAAATTGGGAGAATTTACATGAATGGTAGAAAACCCAGACCAACCCTTCCTCTCAAGGTGATTATAAAATCTAGATAAAATGAATTTTAAAGATCATATTGAAGGCATCAGAGAACTAAAAATGTAATGAAGAATTATCGGGACATGATCCCGAAGAAGCTGGAAACTCCGACAGGAAGATCCTGGCCTTTAGGGCCTCTTCCATCTGGACAATTCCCCCTCTGAAAGATGGAGCTCAGAGGCTAAGCAGTACCCAGATTGGGCCCTGGTACATCCGTGTTTGGACTTGAAACTTCTCTGAAGGGCTGAATCTAAAAGGTAAGTATCAATGAGAAGTAAACCATCCTCACACTGGCTGCCTCTCACCTCCAGATCAGCTGGGTGCTCTAGAAACCTCAATTTCTGAAATTTCCCTAGGTTGCCTGTGAAACTATTAGATAAGTAAGACAGATATTAATATGCAGTCAGAGAGGGATTGGGCCCTTGAGGAAGTCAGCACAAAAAATAAAGGCGTTAGAATTTTGGCTGGAGGCAAATCCACAGAGAGCCACAGGATGGAGACACCATAGCCAGGCCTGCAAGATATACAGCAACCTGAGATGGTACTGTGATCAGCACCACCCAGTCCAGTGAGCCAAGACAGGCCTCAGACTCATAGGCAGGCAATGGATCATCTGGACCCACATTCCCCTCCCTTTCCAAAAAGCACTTTGCTCTGTCTATATATGCCTGCTACATGACTCATTTTTCTACTGGACCGATATTAACTAAGCAGCTATACTTGTAATCCTGTAGGTTAACAGTAGTCTGACCCACATTATAATTTTGTTACACAAATCATTCCTGACAAAGGCCTGGTGGTCACTGACTCAAGACTCTTCCTGGAAATCCAGGAGCTATTGTTCTCCTTATTTCCAATAAAACTCTTCTAACTTCTTCCTTTGGTTCATGACTTCACTCCTGGATATTGTGAGACCATAAACTCAGCATATCTGACATCTAACAGGCTGAGAGTTCTAGTTTTCTTGGATCAAAACCTCAGTGCCTGACAGCACCATCCTATCTGAAGATGTACAACTTTGTTTTAGACCTCAAATGATTTCTAAAATAACTTCAAATATAAAGTGTGGAACACAAAGATAACCAGACACACAGAAGACTAGATAATATGAATAAGAATTGAGAAAAACAGAATTGACCACTGATGGCCAATTA